ACTCTTGTTTGGACAGATTTAAGTGAGTTATTCCTAAGAATTACAGGTCTACAATATAAAACAACAAATTTCCATGAAAAACAATGTACCGCTTTGACATTCAAAAATATTGATTAGTTAGACCGCCAGGGAGGTTAACATATGCTTCCAGCTTCCTGTTTGTCTACCCTGTTCCTGTGCCTGCTAGTTTGGATTCCCTTGTTAATGACCTCAAAATTAGATATCGACTACGCTTAGAACTCAGCCTACCCTGAAGCTGGACTGTCTCTGACCCCTCTGCCTGTTTGCCATCCTCAAGTACCTGTTTGCTGTGCTCAGTTCACGCTGGTCTTGGTGTGGTAGCCAGGAAGTATAGCATTGTGTATAAGACCTGGGGCAACAAACTACTGGTAGGCCTGCTTGCCTTATGGAAAAGGGGGCTACTACAGGTGAAGAACATAGACACTAGCTATAGTGCCTGGCCACCTGCGTTAGGGATAAGCTTGAGACTTAGAGGCAGAAAATGCTCATTGCTCAAATAACCCCTAGCATCCTCTGGAGGAATCCTAGGGTTCCACAGAATCTTGGTTGAGAAAGGCTGCATTAGAGAATAGCAATACGTCAAGTAAAAGAGTTACATTCCACAAGGGAGGAAAATGGGGAAACCTCTTTAAAAGTTGTAGGGGTAACAGAGTCTCCATAGGTATACCAACATATACAGTTAGAAAAGTCCTCTTAATGTTTGTTTTGATCAGAGGACACCTGATTCTCCATAGTCATTAGTAATCTGTGCCCATTCCACAAGGTAAGGTGGCATGGGAGATTATCCACAATAGGAGATTACTACCCTGATTGCTAATAGGCAGTGTATCAGGATGATTTTCCCTGATCTTAGAGAGGAACCCATGTATCATTGACTAAGGAGGTACCTGGAGGGAAGCTATACTATCTGATACGCACATGCTATTAGTGCAGAAGATGCAAATAGTATCTGGCTCCTCATAGCATCTCCAACAACAGCAGGGGCTTGGCGGGTAAATGTGGCTTAGCTCTTTGTTTGGTACTAAAGGGAAATAATACATCCATTTTTTAATATATATAGCATGAACAAGTTGTTAAGTGGTTCTGTGGTCCTTTAGACCATACCCACTCTATGGTCAAACACAATATTTTCTGTTTTCGTTCAGAAATTTCCTTTAAAATTTTCTAAAAGTAATGTGCTCAATTCTGCAATTCATTCCGCCTATTGTTGCCTAGTAGCCAAGGATGTCTCCTGCTGCTCAAGGAGGAATGGGTAGTCTCAAGAAGAACCCAGCTGGACTGGTCTGCACTGGAGCAATGTGTAGATAACTATGTGCCAAACACTAAACCTCGTGTCCTATAAAATTATTATATTATTTATTATTTACAAAGTAAACAGATTTTCGCATATTTAGGGTACTCATTGTTTTACCCCATCCCACAGCACATATGTTATTATATACTGTATGCTACTCTATACCTACAACCCTTACTGTCTTCAAATTTTCAGTGTGACCTGCCAAGGCCTCTAGATGAAATCTTCACAAATTCTACATGCTGTACCTGCCCATGCACACCAAGAGTTCAGCTACCTTCCTTGCAATGCTCACTTATCAGCCTGTTAGGATGGATTTCCAGTTAAGTGAATGGAGGTCATAGCTGTGTAGCCACGGGCAAGATATCAGGATATGGTTATGGTTACGACTAAAGCCCATCTGGGGTGATACGCGTCATCCTTCTGTGTATTGGACCATATTTGCACTCTACATAGAGCTTTAATAAATTGGATTTTAAGAGCGCATCACATGGAGCTGCTGACCTTTTCATTTGAAAATATCAGGATAATAGTGTTGCAGGTAAGTATATCATGTACACCTTTAATTATTTTGTCATATATGAGGAGTTTGTAAAGATGATATCCAGGCAAATATAAAAATTGTTTAATCCAATAAAAATTATTAAATGTTTAATAAGAGCTGCTGGTCTCATTCCAGCATCCTGGTTTTGACTGTCATACATTCTCCCTGCCTGTCCACCTGCAAGGTGATTGATGTGGCCAGTCTCTGGGTAGAGACCAAACCTGATTTAAACCAGCCAAGTCTGCAGTCTCATACTCATGATATTGCGTTTGTAACGTGCTGCAAGCTCCCTGTTTGTTAAGCTTCTTTTAATAGCCTTCTAGACTAAAAGCAGGAGATGCACCACTGTGGGGCTAATCAAACTCTACCACATCTTTAGTGCTGTCAGATCTAGCCCTGAGAACTTGATCAAAGCTGAATGAACAGAGTGATGACCTTGTCCATGAGTGAAAGCTCTTTCATTGTCCAACATGCTAGATATAAAGCTGGATGGTGACCAAACTGTGCAACTAAAAAGTGTATGTCCAATCAAAAACATTTTTTTTAGTTTTAGACAAGAACAGAAACCATCTCAGCTGAATGGAACTCTCTTTGTCATCAATGGTAGAAAAACTGTAATCCAATTTAGTTAATAGATGAAGACTGTCAGTAAAAAAGATGCAGTCAACGACAAGCGCCCATATATTTCTGTCCTAATCCAGTAGCAAACAGATTAGAGGTACATCCATGTGGAGAGCAGGCCCTGTAAGCTAGCAGGCAAGTTTGCACAATCAGGTTAGCTTGATAGCATACACAGCCTGCTGACCACGTAGCTCTACCTTTAGTTTGTTTGCTGCTAGATATGGACAGCAATACTTGGATACTTGATGTTGGACCACCTTTGTTATTAACCGTATTCACCAATTACCAAAACTGGACAGTTTGTCTTCCATTACAGACACAGAGTCTTTTGTTCGGGTGAGATATATTAAATTTTTTACTGAGGGGCATGCATGAGACCTTGTCAGTAGATACTCACTGAACAATCATCATCATCTTTTTGGACAGAATCAAGCTAGTTTCTATACAGTTCTGAATGATAACAATGAAACATAGTCCACTGAGAACAATAGATACATTATTCTCCATATTAATAGGTTGAATGATTTCTGCAGAGAAATTATCGAAATTTCCTTTCTGGCAAAATGTTGTCAGTACGACCAGAAGTGGGAATAAATCTTTCTAATGGAGACCCAAAAAACAGTAAAAACCTGATCCTTAAAGCGGATTTCCAGCCATTTTTGTATTTATTAAAAGTCAACAGCTACAAAAACTATAGCTGCTGACTTTTAATAAACACACACTCACCTGTCTTGAGAGTTTGATGATGTTTTCACCCGCACCGTCCCTTCTCTTCCTCTCCTCTCCCCGGCGCCAGCATATCAAATGTTGGTACCAGGCTGTGACCGCTTGCGGCTTCACAGCCTGGTGGCCACCGCACATGCTCGAGTCGAGCTGCACCTCCTATTTGGTCCGGCAGTCTTCTGGGACCTGTGAAAGTTCCCAGGAGACTGCGGGAGGGAGGAAGGGGCTGAACTTCCTGCTCACTTCGCCACGGCTAACTGAGCTGGAAGTGGGAGTGGCAGGGGCGGACTGACAACTCATGGGGCCCCCGGGCAATAGGGGATCATGGGGCCCCTGTGTCCTGGTACATGGTTACATGGTATACCTTTGGTATAATTTTTGCATACACCTCCTGTGGGAAGTGTTCACCTGTGAACCAGTGCTACAAAGACTTTAGGCTCTAGTAGTCACTGTCTTTGTTGCACAATTATTTGGACCGGTCTTGGTGTCATTTTATATGGTTTTAGGTCTGTGTGTATTGTCTCATACTGAGGTGATGGTAAACCAGGGCGATTGCCCAAATGTCAAACTTGTATATGTAATAAAGCATAATTTTTGGAAATTTTTCTGATTGTCACACTCTGTTCATAATGTAGCCACTTTCTCTGTGAATTTCTTTTCACAACCCCCCTTTTTGTGCATCTCATGGGGCCCCCTACTGACCCCCCAGGCAATAGGGCATCATGGGGCCCCTGTGTCCTTGCCCAAACTCAAAAAAGCCTATGAAAAAGGTACCAGGAGCATCTCATGGGACCCCCTACTGACCCCGGGCCCTCAGGCAGTGCCCGAGTTTCCAAATGGTCAGTCCACCCCTGGGGAGTGGGTACCTGTCAAAAACAGGTATTCGTTCCCCCCCCAAAAGGTGCCAAATATGGCAGTGGAGAGGGGAAAGAGGCAAATAAGTGAAGCTTCTGCTTTTGAGTGGAACTCCACTTTAAGGTACTCAGGGATGGGTTCATAGCTCTGCATACACAGGCCCTGCGTCAGAGTGAGTCAGTACAGCCGATGAATGTCCATTTACTAATATAGTCTGCCTGCATGCAGCTTGGTGCCAGGAAAGTAACCAAAGGGCCGAGTGTCCATGTAAATGAGCCCTAAGAAGGAAGGGGCTTCCTCCAGCCTGCTCTTTGTTTATTAATTGCTGTGTATGTCCAGTAGCTGGGAACTCAGATAGTCGGGGTTAGGGACCACACTTATCAGAGGTGCCTTGGTGCAGCAGTGTGGCTTCCACATGTATTTGCAAATGCAGGCAAAAAGAAAAATGGTTGGAACATTATTTGTTAGTTTTTTTTTTTTGGCTGGCAAGTTCGAAAGTGTGCCAGGGACCTTCTGTATATATAAAAGTATATACATTCCAAATGTCTGTTCATCTTTTTGCTTTTAATGTATCTTCCAGTAAATGTAGCTTCTTCATTTATATAACCCATACTACTGACATCAATTGTACCTGTGCTTTGTAACTTATCTTGCTTCCTCTCCTTACCACTAGTTCTGCAGTTAGTGTTTCATTATGCCTCATAACAGATAGTTTCCTCAATCACTGACCCACAAAATATAGTTAAATACTTTCCCATACACAAAATAATCACTAACACATTAAAGAGTTTGGTCTGAGCCTGACATTGTGGTAGACCTCTATCATTGCTATATATTTTCAGGGAGCTATAAGGCTTTAGTAAGCTATAACCAGGGGCGGACTGACCATTTGTAAACTCAGGCACTGCCCGAGGGCCTGGGGTCAGTAGGGGGCCCCATGAGATGCCACTGGTACCTTTTTCATAGGCTTTTTTGAGTTTGGGCAAGGACACAGGGGCCCCATGATCCCCTATTGCCCGGGGGCCCCATGAGTTGTCAGTCCGCCCCTGGCTATAACAACTGCAATGGTTACGTGCAAAGCACAAAAAACCACAACCACCAGTTAGAGATCATGAACTGAATCTTGACTAATCTGACATGTTGAAATCTAGTTGTCTGCTTTGGGTTACTGCACTTTTATAAATCCTCTTTCAACTGCCTCACTAAGCAAATACCAAAATAATATTGAATACCAATCTGATACCCCAATTATTAAACCCAAACTCAAGCCAAAACATTTTACTTAATTGAGGACAAAATTGGGAGGATTAGAACCATTGTCAAGTTTAAATCACTTTGCTGGGCACTTTATGAATATTTGTAGGCAGGTGCTTACAATGTTATTTTTTATGTGTTTATGGAGTTTATGCCTGGTAATACATGGGTTATTGTGCTGTGGTGTGTTGGCATTTTTTGACCTGTGGTGCGTCTCATGTAGGGGATATATAGCAAGCTTTCTGCATTGGCGTTTTTATGAACTCACATGCTATGGATGCCATGACAGGCAACCATCTTTATTGCTTGGAAAAAAATCTGTTTTGAAGTTTTACCATTTAAAGGAGCAGATCGATCTTTGTGCATTTTACATGCACAGACCGAAAGTTACATCTATGCCCATCGATAACACATTTTTTCTTATGCAGTCTTGATCAGTCCATCTGGTAAGCACTGTTTATCGTCATTGGTTGCCACGTTTATTGCCATCTTTTTCTATTTTATCACCATTGCTATTTCTTAGTCCACTGTTTATTAATTGATTGCCACACTACTGTGAATGTCTCTCGCTTAGAATAGTTACTCACTACATGTTTGGGGACCTTTTTCTCCCATCCTTTTTTTTTTGTTGTTGTTGTTGGTCATCATTTGGGGCGTTTCTTGCAGAATCTCTTGTTGCACAGAGGGGGAGTGGCTGGGGTTCTCACTGCCATTTATTTCCATATACGGTATATAAGGATCCTTCCAATGCATTGTGCTTTCATCTATTGCTTTGATGAGGGGAGTTCGACTCCCGAAACACGTTAGCACTTTACCTGAGGACCCATGCTGTCCACGACTGGCATCCTTTGACTTCTTGTCTCTGTTTTTATGACATTTTTGGCTTGTGAGTATGTTTTTGTATTTTTAAATACATTTCATATTATCGTGGTAATAAATGAGGAGAGTGCGCCCTGATTTGTTATTTTCTGCTAGGATATATATATAGCAATAAGATGATGGGCCAAAGATTGTTAGTTGTGGAAGTTGGAAAGGCCATACATGGGGAGATATAGTATTGCACCTAGAGTGGGGTTACTCCTTTGGGGAATCCTGAAACTGGACTGAGTAGTTGGTTTATTTAAGAAGAGTGTGAGAGCATGCTCCTATAGTGAATAGGAACATTGAACAATGTGTAAAGCTTCATGTTAATCTTCTTGGCAAAGGAGAGTGAGATGTAAAGGGAAGAGGGAGCAGCCAGCTGGGGAGAGGAGGCGGTGGTGGCCAATAATGAAGGTTCTGCCAGAGGGGTGAATTAATGGCTGTATGGTTTGCACTTCTAAGTGGCAGGGTCCCTAAACTAGGGCCCACTACGTAACAGAACCTGCCTATGGATTGGGCCTGGACCACAGTGTGCGATGTCTCACAAAGAATACATCAGCTTACTCCATGCCTTTGGACTGCACAAGTAAAGTGTATCAAGCTCAGTGGGGTATCTCTCAAAATGTTTTTATAGTCAGTGAAGTGAAAAGACGTTATCCTTCTGGTGTGGAGCCTGCTGAAGTAAATTGGCCTCCAGCCATGAGGTGTGCTAACTAACACAAGAAAGCAATAACGCCATGCTAACACATGGAGTAGGTAAACATATAAATTATTAGCGTACAGTTCCAAGCATGTTTACATATTTCTTCACAAAATACTTTTTATTCAATATCAGAGTTATGCATATAGTGCCACTTACAATACACTATGTAAATAAGGGGGATACATTTCAGTTCGTGACCCAGATGTCAAAACAGGGCTCCACATGGGTTCATTGATCATTTGACTATATGTTATTTTTTTTTAGGTATAATGATCTAATATTGGGTATCTTTTTAAATTGGTTTTAATCTTTGTGATGTGTGGATTGTGTGATTTCAAGCTGATAAACTTGACCACGGACAGGTTAAGCGAATAACATTGATTATATCCTTACAATGGCATCTGAAAGTCAGTGGGATATATCAGGCAGCAAAGTATGTTGTCCTTGAAGTTGATGTGTTGAAAGCAGCAAATATGGGCATTGCTCTTTGTTTTGTATGGGGCTGTGTAAGCACACACCAATCAAGGTACACGTGCAGACCCATGTCCACAGCCAAAAGTGTCTGCAATGAATACATAAGCTTAACAAATGGACCACGGAGTACTTAAAGTAGGTGGCCTTGTCTGATTAATCACATTTATATGTACATCATGTGTATTTCCTTCCATTCATGTGGATATTACTTTAAATTTACCACCTACCTAAACGTTGTTGCTGGCCAAGTATACCCCTTCATGGAAATGGTATTCTCTGATGGCTGTGGTGTTTTTCAGCAGCATAATACTCCCTGCTACACTGAAAAAATTGTTCAAGAATGGTTTGAGGAACACAACAGTGGGTTTGAGGTGTTTACCTAGCCTCCAGTGGAGCTTCTGTGGGATGTGCTGTTAAAAAATTCCAATCCATGGAGTCCCAACATCTCAATTTACAGGCTTTGTGCCAAATACTACAGCATATCTTCAGAGGTCTTGTATTATTCATGCCTCAATGAGTCAGGGCTGTTTTCAAGGCAAAAGGGGACCTACTCAGCCATGACTTTAGGTGGTCCTAAAGGTATGGCTGATCGGTGTATATACTGTATATTGCAAGCCTTTTATTGCTTCCTACATCTTCCTGAAACCTTTTCAGAATATTTTTGTCCTGCTATCACAGGAAAGGAAGTTAAAATGGAACTTCTCAGTCAAAATTGCCTATTTTTAATCCTTATGCTGTTAGAATTAGTAAATAGATAGCAAAGCATGTCATATTTTCTTGTTTGAAACTTTTTTTTACATGTCTTCAACCACTTCCTGTTTTTTATGCCTAGGCATCTGATGTCATACACCCCAGGAGTCTTCAGGAGGGGAGGGGAGCTCAGCTAAGTTTACACTCTTGCCTGCATGCCTGAGCTAAGGGCAGATCATCTGTCCTTGCTTAAGATGGCCATGACCAGAAATACTTGGGTGGGTGGTTTTCAAAGTGATTTTCTCAACAACAAAAAGCACTGAGACATGGGTGGAGTTTGTTTTGAATATTAAAAATTAATTAAATGGCATTTTTGATTTGTGGTGCTCAAATGCAGTGTAGTTCCGCTTTAAGGAAAATCTTCCTGCAGAGGTCACAGATAGCTATCAAATGCTGACAGCAGTTCTAATTCTTCTCCATTCATCTAAAAATAAAATGTTGTCTAGAGTCAGGCATAAAACATAGCTGATCATTTCAAACATCATTCTGGAACCAATTTTGTGTAAGAAAATGGACATTTCCAACAACCCTGGTACTTCAAAGCTTTCAGAAACAAATTCCAGTCTGTCTTTTCAGTATATTAAAGTAATATGTGTCTTGGGAATATATATTACAAAGCCTAAAATAAATCATCTACCACAAAAATGGTTGACCTCTGAAACCTCCCCCTTGCTTAACTGTCTGTCCAGATGTAGCTGACATTTGGCAAAGGTATGGAGTAAGAAATAATGTAGTTGGGAAAGAGGAATAAATATGTTCTAACACAATTAGGTGATTTCACAAGTAGTTTAAGAGGTACTAATGTAGAAGGGTCACTAAAAGAGGTATAGACTCCATAGAGAGAGAGATATCATTTTACCCCCCGTACAAATCATTAGTAATACCTCATCTGGAATATGCAGTTCAGTTTTGGGCACCAATTCACAAAAAGAACATTGGGGAACTGGAGAAAGTACAGAGAAGGACAACCAAACTTATAAGAGGCATGGAGGAGCTCAGCTATAAGGAAAGATTAGAGGAATTGAATGTATTCTCTCTTGAGAAGAGGAGCTTAAGGGGGGATATGATCAACATGTATAAATACATCAGTGGTTCATATAGTGAACTCGGTGTAGAGCTATTCACCCTGAGGTCATCACAGAGGACAAGGGGACCCTCTTTACGTCTGGAGGAAAATAAATTTAATCTCCAAACACGGAAAGGTTTTTTCAGAGTGAGAGCTGTGAAAATGTGGAATAGACTCCCTCAAGAGTTGGTTCTGGCCATCTCAGTGGATTGCTTTAAAAAAGGCCTGGATTCTTTCTTGGATACACAGAATATAACTGGATAACATTTATAGGTAAAGTTGATCCAGAGAATATCCAATTGCCTCTTGTGGGAATAGGTAGGATTTTTTTCCCCTGCAGGAGCAAATTGGGTCATGCTTTGCTGGGTTTTTTGCCTTCCTCTGGATCAACTGCGGGTATAGCATTATAACTTTTTTTTTTTAAATGGTTGAACTGGATGGACGTTTGTCTTTTTTCAGCCAAACTAACTATGTAACTTGTAGTCTCTTTTAGAAGCCTAAATGACAGGGTAGAATTGCAGGAACACATTTAGGGAACCAAGATAGTGCATGGTCACCATTCAACAGGAAGTGCATAAACAAGGACCTTCATGGTAGCATCAATATCAGCACTCAATTCAAATAGATGCCTTGGTGCTCCACACAAACAGGCAATCCAGAAACAAGTATAGTAGGCACTTGAAGGACTTCCATAGAGAAACAAAAGCAGATAATATTATACTGCTTAAGGTCCTACGACTGAGTGAAAACTTGACTAGATAAATAGGTGGAAGTATCAATGTTGAAGTCCAGCCTGGTGCTGAAGATTTCAACCTACGATCGGTTAAACATTAACAAGCTCAGGACAATTGGAGGCAATTTACCTAAGTTAAAAACATCCAAGAAGACCAAGAAGATAAAATGGGGAGGGGTGGAAAGGA